ACCTGCAACCCCAGAGAAACTTGCATAAAAGGCAACCTTTTATCTATCTTGTAATCACCTCCACCTTTGTAACTTCACCCATCACCCACTTTCCAAAGAAACTTGATTAACCTAAAAGGTCAAATCTCATCAATGTAAACTATTGCAGTAACTCCCAACACCAGCCAGACCAATCCCCTAGCCTAAGAATCTTTGTTTCCTGATTTGAATCATACACCTTTGCTGTGGTTAAGGGGGAGGGAGGTTTCAGAAGAAGAAGTCCAAATAATGTAATTTCAATTCTGACTGTCACGGATAGCCAATCAGAAGAAGACACACCTATGTTGCTCAAGATTTTGCTCTATCATCTTGCTAATTGTTATAAAAGACCTTGTTAGCCCCCTCTCAAGGTCTTTGGTCATCGAAAGAGACCATTCACCCCATTTTGGTGATTGCTAGCTGCTGTTTTCATTCATGTCTGATTTTTGTTGTGACCCCTTTTTAGGGTTTTCTTGGCAAAGATATTGGAGTGGTCTGCCATTTCCTTCTTTGGCTTATTTTATAGATGAGAAAACTGAGGTAAACAGGTGAAATGATTTGCCCAGGCTCACACAGCCAGTAAGTGTCTGAGGCCAGATTTGAACTCGGGAAGAGTTTCCCTGACTTTGAGCACAGCACCCTATCCACTCCAACACCTAGCCATTGCTAATAAATAGAAGATACTCAGAACTTTGTACCTCATTTTACCTTAATTTCCACCATAACACTCAAATAAAATTTGGGAACAAGTCATTTGCAAAAACCAGCCGCAAAAACCCCAAGACAAAAGAAAAAGTAAAAACTACATAGCATTCACTTTGAGTATATAATTCTTGAAATTAGCAATCGTCGAGCTTTTATTTCAGCCTCAAACTCAAGCTGTAAAATGTTCATCAATAAAAATATGAAAATTCTTGAAGAAATCAAGATCAGAAGTAAACATTTGTAGCACTCATTCTTGAGTATACTAATAAAAAAATCAAGGGGAAAAAAATGATCCCAGGATGATATTCCCACTTGGAACACTAGGTGTCACTCTGGAATCCCAGGGCTCCTCTGCTTACAAAGACTCAGTCACCTGAGTTGGTCATCATCCAAACCTCACTGTCCATCTTCTATCACCTGATTCCTTATTCCCATTCTCCTTAACCCTCCCACCCCAAGATAATCCTTGTGGCATCCACCCTATGGGGTTGTTGACAAGGCTCAAATCTTTTATAAACTCTAAACTGCTATTTATTTTCAGCTATTACAATTCTTGAGTTTCTTTGCTTCTTTTCTCTCTATAGCTTGCATAGACTAAGCATTTAATAAATGATTTTTGAATTTAGTTGAATTTCAGCCACTAGAATGGTTTCAACTGTTGCCTTCAGGTTTATGCCTCCTAAATCTCTATGTCCAGTTTTGGTCTGTTTCTCAAGTTCCAGTTTTCTAAGGAACACATCTCTACGTGGCCATCACACTGACCTCTCAAATTCAGCACCTCCAAAACGGAATTCCTAGCCCTCTCAGGCACTCCCACCAACGTGGATCCTCCCCTTAACTTCCCCATTTCTGTCTGACTGGGCTGCTGTTATAATCAGCCAGGCTAGGGATCTCATCATTTGACTCTTCCTTCTTCCTCACCTTCCACACCTAGTCAGTCATCGAAGTTAAGCAGTTCTTCCACATACATCCTTTCCTCCATTCCCAAACAAATACAGGGCCCTATTTTCTCATTCCCAACCTATGGCAACAGCTCCCCAGTTGATTCCCTGCTCTTATCTTCTCCCCCTACCCCAGCAGCTCTGTACGTAATCATCAGAATGGTCTTCTTAAAGTTCTGTTTGATTCTGTAACTCCCCTGCTGAATGAATGAATGAAAGAGCATTTATTGAATATTTACTATGTCTCAAGTACTGTGCTAAGTTGCAGAGATATAAATACCAAAGCAAGGCGCTATCCGGTATGGTTTGACTGGGGCAGAAGACAGCAGCATGCTCACCGGCCTAGACTTGGACAATGTTTGTCTTAATAAAGCCCAATAAAGGTTTTTAGCTTTTTGGGATGCCATCATGTCTCCATCAGCCAGGCTGCCCCTTTCCCTCTCATATTCTCTTGTACTTACTATCTCTACCATTCTTTAGAATCACAGACTTTTGGCCTGAGAAGAAAAAACTTAAGGGTTAACTAGGCAGACCCATTCAGAGCTGAAGTATAAATCCAATCTCCCATATCCCTGACCAGTGTTCATGCAACCACTTTAGCACTGATAGTCAGTGGGGATACCCAGACAAAAGGAGACAATCCCTACTCTCTGGGACTTATGTTTAGTAATGGCAAACATTCACACACCCTACCACTTGACATTTTTTTATGCTAAAGAAAAATCTGCCCCCGTGGAACTTATGCCCATTGGTCCAAAGTCTTTTTTTCATTGACCAGGCCAAACTTTATTTTTCCTTCTTACGTATTTTTCAAATATTTGAAAAATGACTGTCCTTCCCCCAGGTCCAATATCCCCAGCTCCTTCCATCAATTCACATAGAGTGTCTGACATCCCCAAACCATCCTGGTTATCATCTGGGCCTTCTCCGGGTCACGTCCTTCTCAAGTGTGCTATCCAGAACCGAACACATTTCTCTAAATTGGTCAGTGTCAGACTCTGGACAAAAGGAATAGCACCTCATTTGGAACACTATATTAATGTGGACTAAGATCCATTAGCTTTTTTTGCTGGCTAAGTCACACTGATGATACATATTGAACTTGCAGTCAAATGAAAATTTATTATTTATCACAACCACAGAAATAATTATCATCAATCCACAAACACCATTTGAGATCTGTTGTTCAATCATGTCTGCCCTTTGCGACCCCTTTTGGGAAGCCATCACCAAACTATTAAGTGGTCTGAGCAGAACGGAGTCAAGGCTTCTCCAGACCAGTGATCTTCATTCATCTGCTTTAGTCAATTTCTGTGCTGAATCCTATTCACTGGAATTTGGATGTTATTGAGGGATTTATCACTGTACAGACCACATGGTAATCCATGAATGAGAATATTGCTTCATTAACTATTTCATGAGAGTCCATGCTTAGGATCCCAGAATTTAGAGCTGGAAGAGATCTTTGGTATCATCTAGTTAAGAAATTTTTTATCTTATTTTTTTTAATGTGTGATATGTACCCCATCTGCTGTCCTACGAAGCCTGTGGATTCCTTCTCGGAATAATTTTTTTAAATATATATTCAAAATTGAAGGAAATTCTGAATTTCAGTTAGAGGTTCATGAAAATAAAAACTTTTTTCCCCAAATCCAAGTTTATATGAAATCTGGCGTGGGCTTCAGAGGCTTTGTAGTCTAGTCTCCTGGTTTTATAGATGAGGAAACTAAGGCTAGAGCTATTAAGTACCTGCTATCACAGTGAATGAGGCAGAATTTGAATTCAGGTCCACCGACTTCAACTCCAGTTCTTAATCCCTTGCACCATGCTGGCATTAATTTAAAACTAGATCTTCTGAATCAGCTCAGCACTTAATGCCCTTGACCGAATTATGGCTATTGGTGCTTGGATCATAGATAAATCTGGGCTTGTTAGCCTATTGGGCCAATTTTATATTAAGCCACTTTCCTGTTTTTGGTATGTATAGTGAACCATAAAGCATAGAATTTCAAAACTGGGGTGGGAGTGGCTCCAAGTCACCAAATGTCATCTCAGTAATTAAGACCATCTGCTCAGTACTGCTAAAGATGGTCCTGTGAATGGAAGCTGCCCAAAACTGGGCCTTGAGGGCCTGCTCACATGACCTCTTTCTGCAAGATTCTTGTCTAGGCTTTACTGCATGGAGTAGTAGTGTTGACTTTGCCTTGTGGAAGTCCACACCAATGTAGCAGAATCTCTGGCAGTCTCTACCTAGTAAGGAAGGCTTTGAGGAAGATTCTGGCAGAAAGCTGGCTTCCCCAGGACCAGCCTAGAACGATGTTCAGTACTAGAAGGCTGGTCATCGGTCAACTCATGAAACAAAGCCATAATTATAGATTCCTAGAGCCAGAAGGCAGTTTATAATTTAGATTGCTTTAGGGTAGGGAATAGAAGGGCTCTTGGAGTTAATTTAATCAGGAGTTTGGAAGACTTGAGTTCAAATTTGGCATCAGACACTGACTAGCTGTGAGACCCTGGGCAAGTCACTTAACCTTGTTAGCCTTAGTTTTCCTCATCTGTCAAATAATCTGGAGAAAGAAATGGCAAACCACTCCGGTGTCTCTACCAAGAAAGCCCCAAGGGGCTCGTGACTGAACGACAAGAAATTATTAGCTATTTATTGCTTTTCCCCCCAGTATTAAGCGCTCAGCAGGAGTCAGTGCCGGGACCACCAAGCCAAAACCAGAGCTGTCCGCACCAGGCTTCCACTGTTGGGGGGGGAGGGCCTCCCGGATGGAGGCAGAGGCTTAGAGACCCGCGCGCGTGAAAGCTCGGTGCCCCGCCCCGCCCGCAGGGCCTGCCCTCGGGGAGCTTACGTTCTAAAGGGGCCGGGATGATCCCTCCCGCCAGAATTCTCTGGCCTTTTCCAGAAGCAATCACAGTCATTGAGATCTCGGGGGCCGAGGGTGGAAGGTGGGGCTGGGCCCGGCTGGGAAAGAGCAATCTGTCGGAAGAGACGGGACAAAGGCCCCGAAGCTGGAGATGAGGGCGTCGAGAGCTGGCCTAGGGCGTTTACGGCCGGACCGGGAAGTTCGCGTAGGACCCTAAAGGCCCTAGGGAGCCACAGGAGCTTCTGGAGAAGGGGCGTGGCGCAGGCGGAGCGGGAGGGGAAGGGCATTTACCCGCCTGCAGCCCCGCCCCCGGGGGCCGGAGCTCCGCGGATCCGTGCCATCCCGCTCCTATCACATGGCCGGCTGGCTGTGTTGTGGTCACGTGCGGGGCGGGCCCTGACGTCACGGGCCGGGGTGGGGGCTGCGCATGCGCAGCCGAGGGGGCGGGGGCCTGGGCTTGTTGTGTTGCCGCCCGAGAGGCAGAGAGGGAGCCGGAGCTGCCGTCGCCGCCTCCGGAGCTTCGTCCACTGCCGCCGCCGCTGAAGCCTCCCGACCATGTCGTCTCCGCTGGTAGAGCAGCCGCCGCCGCTGCCCAACAACAACAACAACAACGAGGGCGAGCAGCCGCTGGCCCCGCCCGCGGGCCTCAACAGTGAGTGCCGGGGGGATGGGAGGAGGAACCCAGCTCCGGCCGCGGCCGCTGCCGCCGCCGCTTCTGGCCGGGGGCGGGGACGCGCCGCCGCCGGAGACACCTATTGGCCCGCTCCCGAAGCTCTCGGCCAGACTGACAGCCACGTTCGCCTCTCCCTGCCGCCCACTCTTCCGCGCCCGCCCCTCCTCGTCCCGCCCCCAGCCTCATTCCAGTCCGAGGGTCCGGTCTGGGGCTCGGGGGGCTCCTGGCGTCGGGGTGGGGGCGGGGGCGCGCGCCTGAGCGACAGGCGCAGCCGCCTGTGGTTGGCCGCTCGGCCGTGCCTGCTCCAATCCGAGTCGGCTGGGGGCGGGCTTTGGCCGGGCAGCTCGCGGGGGAAGGCGATGGCTGGGGCGGGGGGAGGAGGAGCGGGCCCCGAGCGACCGCGACTTGTTGAGGGGTTGGGTAAGGAAGGAAAGCGGGGCTCCGAAGGCGGGGCCCCCGGGCCACTCTCGGGACCCTCGGTGCTGAGGCTTGCTGTCCGCGGCCGCCCTGCCACTTTGCAGGGGAGGAAACTGAGGCAGGCAGCGACCAGGTGACTTGGTCAGTCTCACCACCGGCCTGGGAGGCTGGGGCTGCCCTTTAATCCCCATTGTGCATTCGGGGACACTGAGGCAGACCGAGATCTGTCCCGGGCACGAGCCTGCCCCTGCCGCCCTGGAGCTCGCGGACCAGCCCGACACCCCTCATTTTACAGAGCAGGAAAGTGGGGCTCCACCTTGAAGCGCTCCGTGTGGTTAGAAGCCCGTGGTGGTTAGAAAGAAGTAGGATTGGAGTAGTTAAAAGGGAAATTTGGGGCTTCCCTCCCCCCATCCCCTGGCAATCCTGGGGACCCCCCTTTTTGCTCCCACGTTTTTGGCCTGTGGGACAGGTCATTTAAAGGCTGCTGGAGTGAGCAGCCCGGTAAGACTTTTTTTTTTTTTAATCGTGTAGTGCACTTAAAGTGACTTTAGTAGTGTGGTGGAGCTGTATGTCATTAATCCTACTTATTAATAATCCATTGTGCCCCCAAGTCAGAGCACATCACAGAACAAATCTGTGAAAAGAAAGACTGAACTTTGTTCCAAGTAAGTAACTTGGAGGTCCCTCATGGTCAGCGGCGTTTCGGAGGCTCTGGGTGCCAGAGCTCCGATGGCCTGGAAGGGCTGAGGACACAGGCCCTGACGCCACTTTTACCTCTGTAGTCTGGACCACAGTGGAGTTCAGAGACTCCTCAGTTGCATAGGGCTTGCAGTCTACCTGGGTGGCCGGGTTGTAAATCCTTGGAATATTCTAGTGAAGAAACCAAATGGCCAAAGAACCCTGGAGAAGTAACAGATTGCTTTAGGACCTGGACAATATACGCTTGGTGAACTCTTCATTGCAATGACAGTTGGAAGGGATTTTAGGGGTCATGATTAACCCCCCCTCTTTTACGCCTGAGGAAACTTACCCCCCAGGAAGTGAAATGACTTATCCAAAGTCCTTTTCACCTGTACCTGGACAGAGGTTTGCAAACAGCTTCCCATGTAGCCCCATTGCTTTTCACAGATGAGCTGCTATGGTTTGCTGTTGGAGCTCAGAATCCTCCCTTCGTTGGACAGAGGAAAGGTTTCCTAACCTTCCTCCATAATTGCCTCACTGCCAGTATGTTGGTAATTGGAGTTATACTTATATCATCATGTGATTGAGTTTGCAAAACGGGAGGGGGGGGTGTTAAGATACTCAAAGGTCATTGAAAGGGACCTCCCAAAAGTTTTGCTTATAAAGAAGGTTCCTTGAATGGAGACACTTGGAAAGCATTTGTGTTTGTTAATAGCATTCTTCACAGGTCTTGGAGATCAGAATAGAATTTTAATATTCTAAAGGTATATTCTTTTTCCTTTCTCTTCCCCATCTTTTATCAAAGGAATTTTTAACAGGTCCATGGACTTTTTTTTTTTAAGATATTGATAACTGCTTCAATATAATTGCTTTCCTTTGTAATCTTGTGCACTTTATTTCATGCATTTAAAACCATTGTTAACCCCTTTTTACAGTTGAGGAAATTAGTTAACCCGAAAGGTAAGTGATTTGTCCATGGTCACAGAGCTTACACTCAGAAGCAAGATTTGAATGCAGGCCTCTCTAAGACCACAGCAACTTAGAATATTTGTGTTTCTTTTGCTTTATTTTTTAAATTCATTTTATACTTAGAAATACCCTATATCAATTGTGTTATGTGGATTCAAGTGTCTACAAATTCTTTTCAGTTTATAGCACAGCCCTTCCTCCATCAGAATAATTTCCCAATATCCTGCCCCTACACATGTCAGGGTTAGGGATAGGGAGCTAGTTGGTGCAGTGGATAGAATGAGGGAGCTGGACTCAGGAAGACCAAATTCAAATTACTAGCTGTGTGACCCTGGGCAAGTCACTTTACCCTGTTTGCCTCAGTTTCCTCATCCAGCAAATGATCTGGAGAAGGAAATGGCAAACCACTCCAGTATCTTTGCCAAGAAAATTCTAAATGGGGTCACGGAGAGTTGCATATGACTGAACAGCAACAAAAGTAAAGCTGTTTACTGAGTACTTTTATACCTTTTTATTTATTCACATCAGAATTGTTCCCCAATATCCTGCCCCCACACATCACTTGAATCTCACCAGTAGCAGAGAAAAATTTGATCAGAAACAATGAGGAAAATGACCACATCTGACAACATGCAGGATTTTATCTGCCGTCTTCTACCTTTCTGTTCTTTTTTCTGGGATCCGAAGAATTTGTTGGTCATTACCATTCTTGAATTTAACCATGTGATAATGTGAATGAAAACAACACTAACATTTTCTCTTAAAAAGGTTTTTGTTCCGTTTTGTCCTTTGTGGCAATGATTTTATGATTGCTTTAAAGGAAACTGTTTGATCAGTACATTCCATCACTAAAAGAAGTAAGATTTTCGTTTCCCTTTGACCACAGGCCAGAGAAACTAGGGCTAGACTGTAGTGAATGTTGGCCTTTATGCCGGGCTCAAGGAAGACTAAATGTCACTGGCCAATCAGGACTAAGTATGTCCATTCTGGCCTTCCTCTGCGTGAGGGAAGGAAAGCCAGCTGTACTGGAGATATGGGGATACTGCTGTGGGAAATCTGCTAGCCAGAATGTCACATTGTAGGAAATGGAGGGGAGGAACCTTTGAAAAGTTATTGAAAAGCTATCTAGATAACGTAGTTTTTAATTACTGCCCTCCTGCTTTTCACTCTGGGAAGTTGAGTTCCCGCTCGCTCATTACTCGGCCCTGAGCTGAACAAAACAAGTGGCTGTATTGATTCCCCCAAGTGATTTTTTTTTTTTTTCAGTTCTGAGCAAAGAGGAATTCATTCAGTGAGTTACTCTAGCCCTCCTCCAAAAGCAACGAGTGAAGGAGCCTACCCTAGACAACAGAGTCAGTTGGAGGGAGGGTCTTTCCTTCCTGGAAGGTATTTCCCAAGGACCTGGAGGCCAAGCCTTCCTCAAAGGCAGTGAAATCCACTGGAATCTAGTGCTTCTTGCCCTGGAATTAATCTAAGGTTGATGCTCGGCGTGAATCCATTGGTGCCGATAATAGTACCTTATATCTTTATAGCACTTTTACTAAGCAGTAACCTCCTTGAACAGTGTTGTTAATTACTAGTCAAACTTGTGAACTGTTCTCAAGCTTCCACAGAAATCTCAGTTGTCAAGAGACTTCTTCCTCCTCTCCTACAAAATAGACTTGTTCATCTGAGGTCTCAGTAGATGGTGGGTAAGGCAGTATCCAGCTAAGAGAGCATTAGAATAGTGGAGGGGAGGAGATTAGGTGTCTGGAGGCACTCAGTTGCATAATGTAGAAATAAAATTCCTTCCTAAGTGAACTCGGCGACCTTAATGGAGATGATCATATGTTACAAAACCCAAATTAATTGGGCTTCCTAATAGACTGTGATCCAAAGGCCTGTTTCATTTACAGCTGGGTCAGCATTATGCAGATGGCACGCATGCATTGTAGAAATGTCAAGATTCGTTTTAGGGACGGCGCTTTCAAGAGGGACTGACAAAGACATTTCATAAAATTTTGCTTCAGTGAAACCTCATTTTGGGAGAGGCTGTATAGTGTTAGTGGCAAGAGCATGGGACTGGTGTTAGAATGGAGACAAGGCCTGATTTGAATACTGGCACCCAGTGCTTATGGTGTGTGATAGGAGGTAAATCACAACTGCTCTGAGTCCCTGTTTCTTCATCTGTGAAATGGGGATAACTTGGCTTCCTATTTGACAGGGTTGGTGTGTGGGATGAGCTTTGTAAACAGGGAAATGCTATGGAAATGTGATCTATTATTGTTCTGACCCAATTCTGTCCAGAGCCTCAGTGTTTTTCACAGGAAGCCTTGAGATGTAGCCCCTCATTAGTGCTCATGGACCATATTTATTGCTAAAATCAGAAGTCCCACCTGGGAGGGTTTGTAAGCACACTTGGTTATAGAAAGGAATGAACAGACTTGAGTAAAAAGATCCCAGTCTTCCTGGTTAGGTCCCTGTGTGAGACCTTTAAAGGGACTGGAGAAGGGAAGGAAATATTTCTTCACTCTTGTCTCTCTCTCTCTCCCTGCTCCGACCCCCCCCCCCCCCCCAAAATTGTAGAGCTGGTTCTCCTTAACTGTGAAGGAGACACAGCAGTGCCTAATAGTGCATGTAGTCATAATTGTGAATGTCATTAGCTGGACATGTCTGTGGTATTCAACAGAGAAACTGAAAACGTGCAGTTCTGAACGTAGCCTGCCTGCTGAGATGCCAACTCAGCCACTCCCAGAGGCTTACACTGGAAAAGTGTTGTTACTGCAGAAAAAGCAATACCATTTTCTTTTACACGCATACAAAACTGATTTTTAAAAAGAATAGCATTTAATAATTGAATCACATTTTTAATTTAATAAAGTCTTCAGTTGAGCTAAACATATTTTAGTAAAATTATTCATTGCATAAAGTTCGATTTTTGAGGTTTTTCTTCTCCACACTTCCTTGTCCCTGCATAGATTCTTTCACCATTTCCTTGCCTTATTTCTCTAGGTGAAATTGAGCTTTATCTTGTCTATTTAGAGTATTTAAAAATACTGAGGTTGTTATTAAAAAGACCTTAGGTGGTTGGGAAAGGGCAAGTCTGGCTTTCCTGCTAAAGGCAAATTCCACTTTTCTGGTGAAAGAGAATATGTGAAGCTGAACCATTCCTATTGAGGTATACTTGAGTTTCATTTTTAAATAAGTAAAATTAAGTAATGTTAGCCTCAAAGGACAATCTTCATAACTGTCTAGTGATTTTAAAAAATAGCTGCAGGTACAATCTACATACACATGCATATACAATAGCTTTTCTATTTGCCCACTTTCTGGATGTTAATTTGCAGTTTCTTCAGTGTACTTTAGGATGTAATAACTGATATGAATATTTCTTAAGGAGGAAAATATCATTCCTAATCACATCTATTGTTGCTGTTTCTGTCTTTGCCCACATAGACAAATCATGAGACCAAAAACTCTTTGAAATGAGCCAGTGACATGGCATGGATATTTTAACAAAATAGATCTGGACTCAGATCTGAGAGGGCCTGGAAGAAAGAGGCCTTGATTTGCCACTTAAACTTAGAAGACCTCAGCAAAGTTGTTTGATGTGATGTTTTTGGTTTGTTCTTGTATAAAATTAGGGGGTTCAATTTGGCCTTTATTTTGAGTTTTGAATCTGAGTTTCTGATCTCTCATTTCCTAGATGAGTAAAGTGGGACCTGGAGAGACAGAATGATGTCAAGTGTAGACTTAGAAGGCTGTTCAAAGACCAAGGCTTGAAAAACTGAGCAGGTGGTTGTTGTTTGTTTGTTTTCCCAGAGCTAGTTCTTTTTCCCTGTTGTGATTGGATGCCTCAGATGCACATTTACAACTTTCCAGGAAATGTCAGAAATCAGGAAATCATGAATTGTGCCTGTGGATTTAGTGCCCTTCCCAGTATTATTCCCAGAATCTGTTTCTAGTCAAGTGACAGTCCTTCCCCAAAGCCTTGCTTTGTGTGGCCCAGCCTCAGTGATTAGGAGAGCCCTTGTGGTGTATACTGGGTTTTCCCAGTTTGTTCTTACTCAAAGTATAGTGTGCTTTGATAGGGGTGTTGGGAAAGACAGGACACACAGTTCTTGCCTAGTAGGAGCTTAAATCGTCCCCTGGAAAAATTGTTGTATTGCCAGTAACCAAGAGGAATTTAAAGTGCTATGAAATCATATTAGGTAGAAATTGTGTCTAGCTGAGGCAGTCACAGAAAGTTCTTGAAGAAAACATGAAGGGCTGAAGGACTGTTCTGGATTCATAGAAAGAGCAGTGAACTTAGAGGCCATATAACCAGACCTGACTGCCACTTACCTCCCTATGTGACCCTGAGAACTTTGTTATGAGAATCGAAATATTGGCCTTTTTTTTTTAAAGCACCTCATAAGATTAATGGCAATCAAGTGTTAGAATGTTTAAAAATCTCTTTTACTGGAGATCTCCCTTCCCCAGGCGGGGGTGCATGTGGAAAGCAGTACCTGGAGGCTTACTAGGTTTGCCTGATGATGATGGCTTACCTATTTCCCAGAGCAACAACTCTGAATGGTTGTGGTACCTACTTGTGGGCAGTGGTTCCACCCTGACCTGCTATTTCTCTCTTTTTTTTTAAACATTTAATTTTTATTTTATTTTTTCTCAATTACATGTAAACCAAAATTTTTAACATTTTTAAAAAAAATTTTGAGTTCCAAATTCTTTCCTGCTTTCCCGTTACCCTCTTGAGAAGGCAGGCAGTTTGATATAAATTACGCATACCCAGTCATGCAAAACATTACCATATTAACCATGTTGCCAAAAAAAAAAAACCCAAAACCCCAAGAATACTAAAGTTTAAAAAGTAGGTTTCAATCTGCTTTCAGGCACCATTAGTTCTTTCTCTGGAGGTGAATAGGATTTTTCATTATAAGTCCTTTGTATTGCTGAGAATAGCTAAGTCATTCACAGTTGATCATCTGTACGAGGTTGCAGTTAACTGTGTACAGTGTTCCCCTGGTTCTGCTCACTTCACTTTTCATCAGTTCATGTAAGTTCCCAGGTTTTTCTTCAATTATGCTGCTCATCATTTCTTTTATCACAATAGTTTTCCTTCAGCTTGTTCAGCCATTCCCCAATTTCTAGCATCCCCTCAATTTCTGGTTCTTTGCTACCACAAAAAGAGCTGCTATAAATATTTTTATACATAATAGGTCCTTTTCCTTTTTCTTTGGTTTCTTGTGGTACAGACCTAGTAGTGATATTGCTGTGACCTGGATTTCTTCTGTCTGATGCCTCCCTGCCTTGGTATGGAAGGTATAGGGGATGGGAAAAAGATGCATACATCTTACTACCCTGATGATGGTGGAATAACTTTCATTAAAACTAGTCGTGACTGAGTCTAAAGACTTTCAAACTTACCAGCATGTGTAGGGTGACTAAAAGTTAAAAGTTCACTGGGTTCAGAAACCTCCTGGGATGACCAGATATTTTCATTAGGAAGGTCCCTCCCCATCTTCCTATTGGCCCCACTCCTTGCAGCTCTACAAGCGTCCTAGTCTTTTAGTAGGATGAGTTAGCCTGGAGCAGAAGCTGAGTTTGTGTACGAAAACAGCCTTAGGACAACCCAGGAAAAAGGGAGAGCCTATGGGACAGGAGAAATAAGACAAGATTACAAGGTATGTTTCTGTATGGAAAGAAGGGAGACAGAGAGAAAAGAAAAAAAGCCAGTTTGTTGGAGATCCAAAATTTGGTGTGTTCTGGGCTAGCTTGGGAGGCTTCTTAGAGCTGGACTGAACCAAGAGAACTGGGTTTAGTCCCAGGTCTGCTGCTAATTCAGTATATGACCTCAGGAAGCTCCTTGACCTCTTCAGTCTCATTTCCTTCTCTCCAAAACTGGTTGGACTTGACTCAAGGTTAGATTTGATCTCAGAGGTCTCTTTTATCTCACAAACTACTACATTTTGTGAAGTCCAGGCTCAATAAATTTAGGCTTGTTGAGTTTAAGTACTTTGGGTTATATTAAGAATTTTTGTAGGAGTTTGATGATAGTGGTGAACATTTAAAAAATGTTGAAAATAAATTTAAGACCTTTGCTAATGTGTTCATATATGTCATGCATGTATGGAGAGTTAACAACTGAGTCCCACTATGAATTATAGACTGACCAGGATATTTAAGAGTTGATATTATAAACCAGAAAGACAAGAAGGCACACAGTCTGATTTCCCTGTTTGTTAAATAGTGAAGATAATTTCTCAAAATAAAAGTTTTTTAGTTCCAATTTCCTCTAAACTGAGTGATTCTATGAATTACTGTGATAATCAATATGTGGGGTAGGGACGTCCAGTTTTTTCCTACGCTTTTTCTTCAGTGTTGTTGTGTTTGGTTTGGGGTAGCCTGGATCGTTATCAGGATTCAGCATATTTACATCTGTGTGCTATGAGTGGCAAATTTCTCTTTTACTGTGGTCATGGCTGAAGTTATCTGGCTCACTCCACAGGTTCCTGGGTGGAGCTCCAGATGAACGGCAACGGCAATGATGGGAATGGAAATGGGAAAAATGGGGGTCTGGAGCACGTTCCCTCTTCGTCCTCCATTCACAACGGAGACATGGAGAAGATTCTCCTAGACGCCCAGCATGAGTCAGGCCAGAGCAGCTCCAGAGGCAGTTCTCACTGTGACAGGTAAAAGAAACCATGATTTCTGTCATTCCTTAGAAGATGGTGGCTGACCCAAAGCATTTTATGGGTTTAACTCCTGGCATGTGTGAAATTGAGCTTATCAAAAAGCCAGGCTTCAATTCTGATGCAGAGTGTGGCTGTCAAATGTCTCCTGAGCTCCCTGTGGGTGCAGATCCACACCGGAGAGCTACCTTTTTCTGGTCCTGGGGGGGCCACTGACTAGCAGGTCATTTCACCCATCTAGGTTATTGGACTAGGTAACTGTTTGGGTCCCTTCTGGCTTAGGATTTTTTTTTTAAGCATGGGAGGATGTTGGCTGGTTGGGTTGTTTGTGTTTTTGAGTCTTGGCTGATTAACAGTTCATTGAAATTCTTGCTTGGCCCGGGGCCAAAGAGTTGTTTGGGTCTACCGGGATGGCTCACTAAAGGAGGCAGGAGATAGCTTTGTTCTAAGCATCCTCTTGTGTAGACATGTCCTTGGGTCTTAAATGAAGGACTTTCTGGCCCAGGACCTAGAGGAGTCGGTGGCTAGTTTTTGTTCTGTTTTTCTTAAAGCATACTCAGTAAACAGTGAGTGACCTCCTCTTGCGTCTGCCTTGAGCAGTTCATTGTTTATCCAGATTGGCTTTAACATCAGCTGTGGCCACCAAAATGGAGTTTTATAATGAGGAACTAACTCAAACACATGTTATGGAGGTTTTCTGCTCAGATACTAGATAACAGACCTTTGTGCATTGAATTATGGGACTCAGGATCCCAGGAGCCGAAGGTATGTTGTCATTTTTCGCCAGCTGCTCTCAGTGAGTAAAGGAAGAGGTTTAACTCCTTTCCTTTCTGGTCTGGAGAATTTTCTTCTGTAGGGCACTCCTTTGGTTTCATATGTAGGTTATGAATGTGGGGTCAGCTCTGGGCGGTGCCGCCGTGGACCTCCCGCCCCTCCACATTTGAAATGAATACTGAGCCCCTTTTTATATGTTCCCTGGTTCTCTAGTCATTCATCTTCCAATCCTTGGCAACATCCTTGACCGGTGATTCACCCCCATATCTTGTCATTTCCCAGGTCTTGTCCATTTTACTTCCACGGCATCTTGCATTTCTTCCCTTCTCTCCATCTCCACAGCCAGTCCTCCTCTCATCTGCTCATTGGTAGTAGTCGCCTTGCTTCTAGCCTCTCCAATTCATCTTCTGTGTAGCTGCCAAGAGAACTTTTCTGAAGGCATTGGTTTGCCTACATTACTCTCCCATGCACGAAGCTTCCGGGCTCCCAATGAATCAGAACTGCTTCAAAGGGCATTTCCAGCCCTTCGAAGTCTGCCTCCAGGCTGTCTCAGCAGATGTGGTACACTTGGCTTTTCAGCCATCCTGGCCCGCTGCTGTTTCCTGAATTTGATTTTCCATCTCCCAACTTCGGCTTTTGCGCCCTTCTCCCACTCCTTAAGTATAGTCTTTCCTTCCCTACCTCTTAAAAATCCTTCACTTCCTTCAAGATACAGTTCAAGCGCCAACTCCGCTGGGAAGCCCTCCCTGATGCTAGAGAGCAGAGTCGTCTCCCCCCTCAAAGTAGCGTGCTCTTGCTAGCCATGTGACTTGCAGCTGGCCGAGGGAGCATCCCCTTGTGGAAGGCAGGGATCTTTGGTCTCTTTTCAGGCTTCAGTTTTCTGGGCACCTCATGTGGTCCTTTTCCCTAGGCAGAGATGTAGTAAATATAGGATGATTGAATAGAGTGGGAAATAAAGTTTAGTCCCTTCTACAACTCTGAACTGAGACTTTGATTCACATTGACCTAAGCATTTTAAAAAGAGCTTGCAAATGATTGAAGACCTTTTTTTTGTATCACCCTATCATCCAGCAAGCCAAATCTGATTTTATTCCTGCCTACCAGAAAGAATTGGCCTGAAGTAATTGATCAGTTTTTCTATGATTATAGTATTTTAAATCATCACTGATAGGGAACCCTCATACTCGTTTTCATTTTGAATCAGCCTAGTAATGGGTTCCTGACTCACCTTTGCTTTCTTTTCCATCTAATATTGCTAGGTTGCTAAGTAGACAGAGTGCTGGTGCTGGAGTAGGCAAGAGCTGTGTTCAAATCCAGTCTCAGACACTTAGTAGCTGGGATCCTGGGCAAGTCCCTTCAGCTGTTCGCCTCAGCTTCCTTATCTTAAAATGGGTCTAATAATAGCATCTACCTCGAAGGGTTGTTGTGTGAGGAGCAGAAGATAGAAATGTGTAAAGCTCTTGGCACAGGGCCTGGCATGTAGGAAGTATTATAAATGTTAGCTGTCATTATCATGATTATTATAACTAATTAAACTACTCAGGGAATCACAGTGTTTGACTCTGAACAGCCTCCTGGCATTGCTTTTTCTATAACGCCAATGGGATAGACATCTGGTCAAGAATGGAGGTCAGGGCCACTGGTTCTCCATCACTCTCCTTCTTTGCCACTTCCCATTAATACTATTATCTTTTTTTTTTTTTTTGGCTCGGCAGTGGGGTTAAGTGACTTGCACAGGGTCACACAGCTAGTAAGTATTATGTATCTGAGGCCTGATTTGAACTGAGGTCCTCCAGAATCCAGGGCCGGTGCTCTATCCGTCTAGCTGCCCCCATTAATCCTGTTATCATAACAAGAGAGTCTCCCTGGTACAAAGGGAAGACTTCTGAGAACTGTGTCACAACACCTCCAACCCTTAGGAAGAGTACGACCATGGCAAGTCATTGATCTTGCTTGATCTCAGTGGTTTCATCCATAAAAGGGCAATACTAATCATACTTAGAGTGTTCGTCTTTTAGGGTTTACCTGGAGGATAAAATCAGGTAGTGTAGGTAAAGCACTTTGCAGACCTTTTCAGCACTCTATCAGTGTCTGTTACTGTTATTTTATCCTGGCCTTTGAGTGTGGGATCCCAGAACAGTATTAACGAGGTGCTCAACTCCAGCTGATGTTGGGAGCCAAAGTCATCTTTCTGCAGTAGATTACCAGCAGTTTCTAAATTACAAGCTTGTTACCACTCTTAAATTGCTAGTTGGGTCTTCTAGTTAGTTGTGAGGCACACTAGATACTTCTGCTGATCTTGTATTTTCATACAGATACACAGAACATGAGCTCTGGCATGCTGTACCAAGCTGGAGAGGATTCTAGGACGTTGTTGGTGATGAAGTGTATGCCTCTTGTGCCAGGGCCAGTCCAGCTAGGCTCTGGGAGGCTCATCACCTGCTTGGTCTCAGGGGGATGAGTCTTTTGGCCATATCAGCTCTCAGACCATTAGCTTTGAGCGTTTGCTTTTGAGTGGAGAGTGCCTGATGGAAGAGTCAGGAATTCCTGGGTTGGAGTTAACCTCTTTGAGCCTCAGTTTCTTTGTAAAAAAGAGGTAATAATCCCTCTAGTATCTACCTACTTCCCACATTGTGCTTTGCAGCTTTGAAGTGCTATGTGTATAGTTGTAATTACTAAGTCATTGTGGGGTTGAGATTAGCATCAGTGGAAGGAATAGCTATCCTAATGAAGCCACAGAGCTTTTGATGTAATTGCATTCATCCAGAGACAATTCCAAATCTTGGGATCACATACTTGCCTTCTTTAGGAAGTGGGAATTAAATGACACAGTCTTCCTTGGAGAGAGGCACAGAATGCCTGCAGTTCGTTACTGCTAAGTAAATCAGCAGGGCCAGAGAGCATGGCCACAAGTAAGCCACTTTCATTGTGCAAAGGGTCAGGGACGGGTGTGTGGAGCTCTCCACCCATCGTTGCCCTAGGAGCTTGTGCACCCTTGCAGCCTTTGCACTCTGAAAGCTTGGAAAGTGCATTTCAATGAGATTTTATGTAATTTGTTTACAAGAGAAAAAATGTGGTAAGGATGAAGGCCACATCCTTTTACTGAAAGGAAACTGCCTTTATTGGGGGAAAAGAAAAGTGGGGAGGACTTGGGGCTTTAAATGAAATTTTATTTTCTCAGTTACTTTTATAAAGAAGTGGTTCTCACCAACTAATTATGTTTCTCTCCTTTTCCTTCAGCTTCCTGACAACATTGTGAGATTTTGGGGGGGTGGGTGTGGATTGGGGGGGATGTTTCTCCATTCCCTATGAAGTCTCCTTTTGCAGGGACATAGGCTGTAGCTTTGGGTCATTCAGTTTCTCTAGCAGAATGAAAACTAATGGTTCACCCTTTTTCCCCTCAGCCCTTCCCCACAAGAAGATGGTCAGATAATGTTTGATGTGGACATGCACACCAGCAGGGACCATAGCTCTCAGGTACCTTTTCTCATTCAAAGTGAGATATTTAGCAAAATGCAGACTCCTTTTTCAGAAAGTAAATACATTTTGTTTAATAGATAAAAGAGTAAAATTTTTGTCGAAATAAATGAGTCATTTGGTTTCTGATTATTGAGCTTGGTGAGGTTGGGAATGTTCATTTGTACCTGTGTATAAAGATAGAAAGTTCTCATATCTCCTGTTTACCACAATGACATTCCTAAGGAGTATTTGCTTAATCTCATTAAGTGAGAGGCAGAGAGGTGGAATGGCCCAGTAGATAGAGAGCTGGCCCCAGATTTGGGAAGGCCTGGGTTCAAGTCCTGACTCTGACATTGGGCACATTGCTTGTATCCTCTTGGTGCCCACGACGTCTCTCTAAAGACCACAGGGCATACAAGCTGATCTTCTTTGGGGAAGGTGGTTCTTCCCTAAATGTTCTGGACACTAATTCAGTCATAAGCCTCCCTATCCCCACCCTCTTTTTCCAAAGGGAGGAAGACAGAAGGGTGATATAAGAGGGAAGGTCCCTGGGGGGCCCACCCCGAGATAATGAGCCCCGAAGCTGTGGCAGTATTGTGGCAGAGTTGGACTGACTTGCCTCAGTACAGTGTCCCGCGCTATCTACCCTTCTGCTGAGGGAGAATGCCTTGTCCTACTCTGTCCTGTGTCAGTTTGCTTCTCCTAGGATGTGAACTTAACAAAGTAAAGTGAGCTGCCCCTTGGTCCTCTCTCCCTTTTTTTTGCCATTTCCTGAAAATGGGAGGCTCTACCTCCAGATCTCCCTGCACCAGGTTGCCTGGAGCATGTCAGGAATAAGGCTTAATACAGGATGACAGGAAGAGAATCCTTTCTCATAGTACCCACAGTTCATGCAAATGAAACACTGGGAATTATAGGGGGGTGGAACCTTTGCTCAAGAACAACATTGAGGCTAAGTGACTTCTGTGTTTTGGTTTTTAATGAATAAAGAAGATTTCTCTAAATTGTGTTTTCAAGCAGACAATTTGGAGACAGTATATCAGTCCTAATTGACAAGTGGAATGTAGACAAATTACTGGGTTCTGGTCACTGTTGCCTATCCCTGGTCCCCTTGGTGAGTGCCACAAAAGGGAGGGGCCAGTAAGCACTCTAGCCACAAAAAGGCCTCCTCAAAGGACCCTGCTTCCACATTGGCTGCACTGGCTGAGGATCACTGACCTTCCACCAAGCATAATCTTTGGGGGACAAAGGCAACCTTGTTGCTCCAAAGAATAATAATGCTTGACCAATCATCTGGTATTCTGTGATTTGGGGGGGGCAACAAACGAATATAATTTACGTAGACAGCTTAGAAGTCCTTTGACAAGTTGCCACACTGAGAAAACAAAAAAGAAAATGTAGTCGGTCATCAGGGATGGGGTGAGAAGGGATGTTTGTTTTCTCAAGGGTACACAGTTAGCTTAGAAACTAAACAACAGAGAGAGATAAACAGGCATTTCTCTGGAAAGAACTCCAGATTTGGAAGCTGAATTCTGGGTTTGACTCCCAGACTGATAAGTATTCCTACTAGCTGTGTGACCTTGGGCAAGTCACTGATTTTCACTGGCCCTCAGTCTTTCATCTGTAAAATGAGGAGGCTCCTGCTAGATCCACACTTGGGACCTTCCAGCCCTAAATCTTAGGATGGCCCTTCTGTCCCAGGTATCACTGCTGGAGCCAGCACTTGCTTCTGAAAGAGGTGATGCTCAGTGAAATGTTTTTCCAATGTCTGGTTAAAGCCACAGGAAGAGCTTCAAGGTCCCTTTCTGCCCAAAAATGGTCCAGGAAAGGGGCTGGTTTATGGCAGGGTTAGAGAGTAAAGGGGTAGGAAGAAAAGGGATCAGACTCTGCTTTAAGGATGATCAGTTCTGAGTTGTTAGTTTTGATCTAAGAAAAGAATCCAGGGGCTGGTATCATTCCTCCCTGAAGCTGTATGCTGCCCTGGCTAAGAAGGTCAGCTGGACGTTGTCAGCCCTACTTGTTTACACAGTGGCTTGTGGCCCCCCACACCTACACCAGCCTGACCAGGCTGGGCACCGAGGGGTGTGTGTGTGCACATAGAAACTCGGGGGTACGGGTCTGCCATCAGAAGATAGTCAGTGTCGATGTGTGCATATAAACTCATGAATAACTTAGCATGGTACCCCAGTCCTGGAACTCCAGAACTTCAGGGTACTTCTTAAATCCCAGTGGGTCAGTTTAGGGAATATAAAAAGTAAGCTTGTTGAAGTTGTGCAGACTACGGAAGCCAATGATGAAGGGAAAGTAGAACTTTGTGCAAGTGTGTGTTCCCCTTTTGACGTGGAGATGAGCAAGGATGACCGAGGCCTTTTGACGGAGGGCGGGAGGCCTGGGCTGGGCTGGGCGGACCCTCAGGTCTGAGCCCCTTTGTGTTCTGTAAGGTAGGGATCATAACCTTATTTCAAAAGTCCTGAAATGGAGCATTCCAAAGCAGGTCTTAACTTGAGTGGATCATGGGCCTCCCCTTCTTCCCCACCTCTGTGGTCTTCTGAAGCCGTTCTCAGAAAGTGTTTCAGTGCATAGAATACATAGGATGACAAAGCGAAACAAGTATATTGAAATACAGTTATCAAAGTTTTTTAAAATTTTTTTAAAATTAATTTATTTTTAGTTTTTAGCAATCATTTCCATAAGTTTTTGAATTTTAAATATTTCTTATCCCTTCCCACCTCCCTCCCCAAGCCGGTGTGCAGTCTGATACAGGCTCTACATATACATTCTTATAGCAAAATATTTTTTAAAAAAGATTATGGATCCCAGGTTAAGTGCCCTGGTTTAAAAGGAAACTTACTTTTTATATCAAGAGCAAAACCATCTGGTTACCTGATCCCAATTTAAAGATGTTTCCATATTAGTGAACGTTTTAAACGGCTTTTTAAAAGCACTTTTGCAGAGCAAAGCCATGAACTGTGAACAGTATTAATGTGGTTATGTGTTGGAATCAGGCATTTAGGCTTTTAATTACAAATTCCTCACTTGCTTCTTACTACCAGCAATCCTCTGGACAAGTCCCCTCTCCTCTCGGCCCGAGTTAAGCAAAGACATGAAACCAGATCTTGGAAATTCTTTTCAGCTCTAAACTCTGTTTTGGATGTACCAGCTTCCCCATTTCATTGACCACTAAGAGCCTTACTTGGAACTTGATTCACAACAACTATCTCTGAAAACCTCAAGGAAAAGATGGGCTACCTTTGGATCCTTGGCCTCAAATTTCATAGAAACCTCTCCAGGGCCTCCTTTGGAAATTCACATCTGCTTGTTTTGGGCTTAATTGTGATCTTTAAAAAACTGAAGAATTTCTCTACAGTCGTGTTTAATAAGTTAGATTGTGAATAAAATCAGAAGGAAAATGAAATATTCCAAATCACTTTTGGTTGAGCCAAATTGGTTTTTAGGGTAGTTTCAAATAACCGTTTAGACCGTTTTTTGAGCAATGATGGTCTAAAAATAGCATCTCGTAATTTTTACTGCTGATTTTTGACTTCCTGTGCTGTTTATTTTGGCTGGCATTACTTTCTTAAACTACTTTATTCAGGTCAATTAAACCGACTTGAATTCTGAGGAAGACGTTAAATATTTATCAGGCCTTGACTTGTGTAACACTTTGAGAAAAGCAGCCAGTGTTCATCAGCCTCTGTGCAGTCGATTCTCTTGCACTAAAATAACCTGTGGCCTTTTTGCTTTCTGTCCCTGGAGCTGGCTGCTCTTTATATTCGAGGTGGTTTTATTTTCTCTTTCTTGTATTAAAATATGAATTCTCCTTCCCAGTCTGAAGAAGAAGCTGCAGAAGGAGAAAAGGGAGTGGAAGCTTTGCAGAAAAGTGTGGCCTGGGTATCGGACTGGTCCAGTCGGCCTGAGAACATCCCCCCCAAGTGAGTGAGCCGGCTGTCTGTCGAGAGGCCACAATGGACCACTGTTTCCCTGCGTTCTCTGTAGTTGGACCTGACCATTTCCTGGTGCTTTCCTCTCCTTTCCTCCTCTCCTCCAGGTCTTTCTCGGCACAGGCTTCCTGACCCATGTCTCCCTCTGCATTTCTTTCATTAGGGAATTCCACTTCCGGCACCCTAAACGTTCCGTTTCTTTAAGTATGAGGAAAAGTGGCGCCATGAAGAAAGGGGGCATTTTCTCTGCAGAATTTCTTAAAGTGTTCATTCCATCGCTGTTCATCTCTCATGTTTTGGCTTTGGGACTAGGGTAAGTACTAGGACATTTTGATGTTTACATTATTCAGTTTGTCCCTTTCATTTAATTCTGTAATCCAGCACTCGGCACAGTATCTGGCACATAGTAGGAGCTTACTGAATGTTTATTGATTGTAATACAAAGAATGTGTTTTCAAAAAGCTTCTGGTGTCTTGCATTTTATATCAGAATTTTCAGGAAGTTATTATTAAAGGGTGGCCTCGAGACCACATGTGACTCTCTAGGTCCTTTTGACTGAGTCCAAGTTCTCCCAGTACAAATCCTTTTATTTAGGGCCTCAGGTTCCCCACCCCGGCTTAGTTTGTAATATGTATCAGCTGCAGGTTAAGCCCTGTCAACAGCTTGGACTGAATACTTGTCTTTATCTTAGATTCAGTATCAACAAATACTTAAGAAACCTCTAATGTCAAGATGGCTTGAAAATTCAGGAGCTTATGTAGATATTCCCTTCCTGAGGTGGCAGAATACGTACTGGTCTTTGAGAATGCCTGTTGGCAGACTTCTAGTCTGCAGATGAAAGTGCCATGGGCTTTCTTTTCTGCTGTGTGTCCTCATCTGAGGGAGAAGCATTGGCTTTCAGATTTCCCTTAACCTTTGTTTGTAAGCCCCTTCATGTCCTAGGTGTGTTGTGTTAATGGACTGTGCCAGTAAAATTGCCTTTATCCAGAAACGGAGTATCAGTTTCATCTTGGACTTAACAATTGGCAACAATATTGAAAGATGTAAGAAGTTACCAAGTCATAGGAAAAAACCTGTTTTGTGTTAGGCTTTTCCTATGTTTCAGTTCCTGTGCGTTTGTAACCTAAAAAATGGAATACTGCCTTCAAGGAGCTGCCAGGAGAGGCATAGTGGCTTTAGAGCTGGCCTCAAGTCCTGCCTTGGAGGCGTCCTGGCTGGGTGACCTTGGGCAGTTCCCTTAACCTCACCTTGCCCCAAGTACCTCTTAAGATGACAGATTGCAGAGACGAGTCGTGCCTTGGCAAGGTCACATAGTAAATGGCAGAGCACAGATTCAGGCTCCGGCTAAGCAGTCAGTCATCAGAGTCGCTTAATCAATGCTGGGACGGGTGGATGGTGAGGATGGCTAGTGGTCCGAAGGAGGCATTTCAGGCTGATGCCCAAATGCCCATCTCTATAGCGTCCTTAGTGAGCGTACTTGGCACGGCGCCTGGCACTCAGTAGATGCTCAATAAATGCTTGTTCTCTTCCCATAAAAAGTTCCTTTGTCAGAAATTCATCATTGTATAGTTTAGGGGTGTGTAACTGACAGACAGGTGAAGTATAATGCCCTGTGTTTCTTTTCAGCATCTATATTGGAAAACGACTGAGTTCCCCGTCTGCTAGCACCTACTGAGGGAGAGGAGAGCCCTGGACGTGCGTGTGCCCTGTGAAGCGCTATCCCTGTCACGTTAGTGTATTTGAACTTGAGACCATTCTAAGCATGCCCCAGTCCTCGCCCCTCTTTTTACATATCCACGTTCCAGCTCCTCTTGGGATTCAGTATTTTATTCAAACTCTTGGGAGGCATTTTCATGACCTCATTCCCTCTTTGGCCTGTAAGACCCTCAGAGTTTCCTCACAGAGTTTACCGTTGTCTAGAAATTTGCAATGTCTTCTTTTCAACGCAGATGCCACCAGCAAGTGATTTTTTTCCATAGCCCTGTTTGTTGCCTCCTTTTCAATCCCACCTGAGTTAGAGCTGCAGCATCCCCATAGAAATATTGACTGCTTTAGGACAACGACCATCACTCTTTTAAAAAAGAAAGCAGGTTAGCAAGTACCCTACCAAACCTTGGTTTTTCAAGACAAAGACAAGCTCTCGTAAGCTCACAATTTATAGTTATAACAAAAACAAGAAAAAGAAACACAAAAAAAGTAGTCTGTGGCAATAAAAAAATGTATTTCAAACCAGCTTTGGGGCCATTTTCTCTCCGAGCCTCCTGGTGTTGACTGGCACGTTGGAAATTTGCAGGAGGCTGGCTGCACAAATAAATGATGGGGACTAAGCAGGGTAAGCCCTGAAGTACTGACGACTAGTGTGTTATCAGAATGTTGGCTTTTCCATGATGCAGAGCCCTTACTTCTTTTAGACAGGGTCTCAGGCCTAGACAAGAGAAGAAAGATGGCATTTGGGACTTTGGGTGTTGGGATTTTTTCCTGCTATGTGTGAATTTGTTTTCGTTTTTCATCTCTTTCCTTAAAGGATTGTTTCCCCCCTTTTTTTCCCCCTAAAGAGAAGCTGTTGAATGACTTCTAATGTGTTTGGTGCGTTTACAGGCTTCTTGTTTTTGGAAATTTCATTTCTTCTGGAACCCTTTAAAGACGCCGTTGGGCCTCCAGAGCTATTCCAAGTACTGAGGGCTGTTTCTGTGGAATGGTCCTGGGGTTGGGGAGCAGTTGACCAAGTCCTGAAATGATGTCCCTTTTGGTGTTCTTCCAGAGCTCTCACTTGTTACTGTTTACTGTACAATCTTCCCTAGGGCAATGCCAGGGACCCTCAAGCAGGATCCCCCCAAGGCATCCTGCTCTAGGTTATTGAACTCATCGTTTGGGGAACACAGCCGCTCCTTCAGTGACACTTTCCTTCTTCAAAATGTGAAGCTTTAGTACCAAATTGTTAGGAAGCATCAGGATTTCCAGTGTCCTCAAGTAGGTTTTATTGGATTTCAGAACATGTAGCATGACTCTGAAGGATACTACTATATGTTTGATATATACATAATTACTGTTTATGATGTAGATTTTAATATTGGCTATTTAGAGAACCATCGTTAACTTTGAAAACTAGCGATTTGCTCGTTTAATTAGTGCATTAGGTTGATGTGAGTAAAATACTAAGACAGCCAGTTTGGCCAGTTTGCAGAAACTGTTCCATCAAACTGTTTTTTTCTGCATCACATTTTATAAAATGGATGTGTTATGGCAGGAATGAACAGACAGTCCAAACACAGAATTTAATTCTTAACTGACTTGTTTGTATTAGTAAAACTGGCCGTGACAAGTATGGAATAACTCCTTGATTATGCTTAAATTTGTTTTATCCTACCATTTGAGAAAATATTGTAAGGTATGAGCCAGGGCCCAAATAAAAGCAACAATGAATTCTTTTTAGAAGTCTTTGTTATTTCTCTTCTCCATCTGAATTCTGAATGTGGTAACACTTGATTTGCCTTCTATAACCTATTTATTTCAATTATATAGCTTGGATTTCATTTGGAGGTGATTGAGAAGTCTGGTGAGGCTGTTGAGTGAGATGGCATTGAACACATGGTTAGAAATTCTATAAATGGAAAAGGCTAGTTTACTCATAAGGACTAATTAATGGCACCTTGTTTTATATTAAATTGGCACAGCCCTAGGGTTCGGGGATGAGAACATTTCTGTTTAAAATTGGGCACATCTTTTTAAGAGAAATAAATGCATCACCCCTTTACAGGTTAAATAGTTGGTTTTTATCTGTTGTGTGTTTAAAACTTGATTATCTTTACAGCTTTTTGACCATTGAAAATAAATCCATCTCTGCCCTATTATTTCTCAAGTAGCTGTGAAATCAACTGTTCATGGAATCTTAACTGAAATAAAAATGGCTAGAGCTTGTTATCATAAGATGATACAAGGCAGTATTTATTGATAACCCTGCTAGAGGTTTGGGGTGGAAGTCTTGGTCCCCCAAACTTTGAGTGAACAAAAACAGATCAATGTGTAATCTGAAAAGGATTTCAACTATTAACAGTTGAAGTTTTGTATGTTGTTTTAAAAGCTTTATACCTGTTTACAGTTTTGGAAATAAATGCAGGCTTCGTTTTTCTTATGTTTCATGAAAAAAACTGGCTTAAAATATTTGTAAATGGGATGAAGAGCAAAAATGCATAGACTCGCACAGTGCAAAGTGGAGCCAGTTAGCTTGCTGTAGCAAAGCATTGACTGTAAATTGAAGACCACCATTCAGATTCTTGCAACAAATTGAACCATTTGATGAAATGATTGGAATTACCTGAGCCAAAGTGATTCTGCATTCTTCATCGATTTAGTTCTTAGCACTTTGTAACATTATATACAGTTTACAATATGTGTATAAGCTGTAGTTATAAACATTTTGTGCCATTAAAGCTCTCACAAAACTGGGTTTTTCTATTAGTAAATCATTTCATGCCCTGCTTGTTTTGCCTGGGGTATAAAAGAGAGTGGGGGTTTGGTATGTGTGTTTTAGTCTTTGATCCCTTACTTAGCAAAGACTGGATATTCTCAAGGAAAGTTCGGCTGATTTCAGTGCTAGAGGCGGCATGGTATTGTAGCTCGAGAGCTAACCTTGACGTGAGGAAGCCCGAGAGCATCCTGGCTAAAGTGATTTCATCTCTTGGGGCCCCACTAAGTCTCCAAAACTCAGTTGCCAAGAAGTGCTAGTCTGAACTGGTGGAGAGTGCGTTTCTGAGACCAATAAATATCACAGAACCAGTCCCTGTCCCTAACCTAATTTGTGGACATGCCCTCCACTGATGCAGATTGCATTACCTCCACGGAATCTCCATGGGAAGGTCCTTCTCGGATGCCTTCTGGTCCCGTAGTTGTCCAAGAAATCCCTTTGCAGCATCTTGAGTTAGTCTCTGCAGCCTTTACTTGAAGACCTTCAGTGACAAAGACTCGCTAACCCCTCTGGCCAGCTCTACGTGTTAGGTAGACAATCCCTATATTAAGATGGCCACTCTATCCAAAAGCATTGTGGTTCAGACTGAGTAGTACAGCAGACAGAAGGGTTTAGGCTATAGAGTTAGCCCCTTGGTTCAAAAGGAGTGCCATCTTTTAGTTTGTGGGCCTGTGATCCATGTAGCGCTTTGAAATACCTTCTAGGGACAGCTTGGTGGCCCAGTGGATAGAGCACTGGCCCTGGATTCAGGAGAACCTGAGTTCAAATCCGGCCTCAGACACATAATACTCACTAGCTGTGTGACCCTGGGCAAGTCACTTAACCCCCTTGCCTAAACAAAAAAAAAGAAACACCTTCTGCCATGTTCACAAATTGCAACCCAAGGTCGAGGTTAAATTGCCTGTAGGCTCCAAAAAATGAGGTGTGTCAGTGAAAAGCTGACCTGGAATGGTTAGGTTTGAAACTTGGCTTCTAGTTAGTATAATTAATTGGTGCTCATCAAAAGGCACACTCCTCTTTTAAAATATAGTAGTTTGGGGTATTGTGGACTTTTAAGAGGTTTTGTTATGAAACAATAGCAATACTTTAAAAAATCAGTTTATATTAACGTTGATTTTCAGTTAAGTGTACATATTGAGAGACTGAGGGCAGCTAGGTTGTGCAGTAGATACAGCAAGGGGCCTGGAGTCAGGAAGACTTATTTTCCTGAGTTCAGATCTAGCTTAGACACTTACCAGCTATGTGACTCTGGGTAAGTCACTGTACCCTATTTGCCTCAATTTCATCATCTGTAAAATGACCTGGAGAAGGAAATGGGAAAGCACTCCAGTGTCTTTGTCCAAGAATACCCCAAATGGGGCTCACCTAGAGTTGGAGACGACTGAAAGACTTAACAAATTGAGGGGTTGGGTTCAGTGTGAGTGTGTTCGTAACTAATGAATTCCAGTGCTGTTGGACCAGCCTTTCTGTAAATAAGACTATAGTCAAGTGAATAACCAGCCTCATATTAAACATTTACTAATGTGCCAAGGCGTATTACATTAGTAAGCCCTAAAGATACAAAGAAAGGTTAAAATTCTTCAGTACCCTTAAATAGCCCGCATTCTGATTCAGCTATGCACGTTCAAGTTATGCATCGGGTAGATTAGAGGAAAGTCTCAAACGTTGAGGAGAGCTTGGGGGTCGTCATGGTTAGCCAGCATGAGCTGAGTGAAGATCCAGCAAAGGAAACCGAGGAGGGACATTTCTGAAAAGGAGGAGGGGTAGAGGATGGTAGCTGCCAGGAAGGGATGGATCGAGGCGGGGACCTTTTTACGAATGAAGAAGATGTGGATGTATTGGTAGGCAGTGAGGAAGTATATGTGGATGATGTCCTGGGAAAGAGAACTGAGGAGTGGGGGATGAAGAAAAGGCAGAGGGAAGGCTAGTTGAATAGGGAATAGAATAGATCAGTGACCAAAAGACAGAGTTGAGAATCAACCATTGTAGGACCCTCAACAGTTTATAGTTTGATCTAAGCTTTGAATTGAGATGTTCTCTGCATCCTAGCCAGATCCCACGATCTGTTAAATAGGTCCAATCAAGTTTAATTAGCTACAGAGAGAACATTTGATAAAGTGTGAAATGAAAAGCATTGAGCTTGGAGGCAGGAGACATGGGTTCATCTAGGAGATGATTGATAAAAAGCATTGAACTAAATCTACTAAGAAGTAATTTGATAGAAATAAATGTAAAGATTTCCACTTAGGAACAAAAAATCAATTTCATAAGTGTAAGATGGCAAAGGCATGATTTGACAACATTTGTTCTGAAAAAGATATGTTTTAGTAAATTGCAATCTCATTATGAGACAGCATTGTGATATAGTAACCAGCAATCTTGGCCTGTATTAAAAGAGACAGCTTCCAGGAATAGGCAGGCAAGAGTCCTCATGGACTCTGCCTTGTCAGATCTTATTTGGAGTATGGTCCCATGGTTTAAGAAGGTCCCTGATAAACTGGAGGGTGCTGGTAGGAAAATAGGATGGTAAAGGGCATGTCATGAAGATTGGTGGCAGGACCTGCAGTATTTAGCCTTAAGCAGCCCTAGGTGGGGGGAACCATGATACATGTTCAGATCTGTGAAGGGTTGTCATTTGGAGAAGGGATTAGTCTTCTCTTTGACCCCAAAAGACAGAACCAGAAGCAGTGGGAAAGTGTAAAGAGGCCTCTGTGGATTTGGCATCAGGAAAAGCTTCTTAACAATTTAAATTGTCCAAAAGTAGAATGACTTACCTGAAGAGGTGGTAAGTTTCCTCTCCTTGGAGGTCTTCGAGCAGAATGGATGACCACTTGTATGTTGGAGTGGAGATTCCTTTTCCATGTATTAATTGGACTAGATTGATACTAAAATCTCAACTCCACACATTTTGTTTTTCTGTGAAATCCCACCTTTTACTGATGTTTACTAGCTGTGTATCCTTGGGCAAGTCACTTAACATTTTTAAGCCTCAGTTTCCTCATCTGTAAAATGGAGATAGTATTATCTCACAAGGTGATTGTCAGGATCAAATGGGAATCATTTATGTAAAATATTTAGGAAATTTTTGAAAACTTTAAAGCCTCATACGAATGTCTCATGATTTGCATTTAAGTTATAACATAGGAAACATCTCTGTTAGGCAACATCTCTTCTGATGGTGGAATTAGGGTATGGCCCTGGAGATATGGAAGGGGAACTAACTTAATTGCAACCATTCGTGCTATGCATATTCGTCCTGGAGCCTCTGCCCAAAGGAATGTAGGTTTTGATGGCTGAAACTTAGCTAGATATATCTTGGGCTTCCTTGGCCAGATTTCTTTCCTGAAGTCCGAGCCATAAATCCAGTTCACTCTGGCTGTCGTTGATTGGCCAACAATTGGTCCCAGCCCAAGCCCCACTGAGTGGTCATTGTTTGGGCCCTGAGGGCTCAGAGTGAATGTAAACAGTAATTACTTCTGTTTTGGCCAGAAACCCTAAGGGTCTTCTCCTACCCGATTGATTTTTCTTTTTTATTAGGTAAAAGAGGCCATTCATTGCCTCATTTCTAGCCTAGCCTTAATGACCAAATGGGGGTTGACTCAGGTCAAGCTGAGACCTGTTAAAGACCTTAGCTTAAAAAGGCCAAGGTCTCTCACATCCTCCTGGGCCATCTCCGGTCATCCTGATTGATATCTGGCCACTGGACCCAGATGGCCCTGGAGGAGAATGTGAGGCTGATGATTTTGCACAGTCCTCCCTTACTTAAAGGAAATTCACTTGCCTGTCATGGCATCAGCTCCATGATGTCATGGTCCTCTTCAAGAACAAAGGACAGAACAACAATTCCTCCCACTCACTTCAGAGTGGGGTTTGGGACAGTGGGTTCAACCCTGCCAAGAAACGAGATTGCCCCAGAGAACAGATCAGGCATCCAGACTGGGTGAGTACACATCTTGAAAAGTCTGTTCATGTCAGAACGTCAGAGCTTTTTACTGAAATACCAGGCTTACAAAAAAAGAGGAATCTTAAGTTGCTGCTTGGGTATTTGTGGAGTTGGAAGCTCTCACCACTTCCTTAGCTCCCCATCCTGATGTGGCAACGGCCTTGGGTTCTCCAAAGCTGTTAACAGAGGTCCTCAGGCTAGACAGACTGGTGTGTCAGCCCAGGGACAGACAACGCGTCCTTTCTGCATAGCATCTGATGAAGGAGCCATCCTGGTACAAAACAGAACAATCCCACCGTGTACTAATGAGTGGAGGAAATACCCAGGCCAGTGAGATAAAATATGAATGGGAGTATTAGCCATTATAGGCAGCTGGTGGTGATGTAGATAGAGCATTGGGCCTGGAGTTAGGAAGACCCAAGTTCAAATTCATCTTCAGTAACCTACTAGCTGTGTGATCTTGGGCAAGTCATTTTACCTCTGTTTGCCTCAGTTTCCCCTCCCAGGGTTGTTGTGAGGATTGAAGAAGTTATTTGTTGGGTACTTAGCGCTGTGCCTGGCACATAGTAGGTGCTTAATAAATGCTTGTTTCCTTCCTTCCTGTAAGCTTTGGTGTCATTGTTAATGTCATAGAATTCTAGAACTGGATCAACTCTTAGAAGACCCTACCTCCCTCATGAGGAATCTGCTCTAGAGGCACTGACTCAAGATCATAGTTCAAGTTGGTAGCAGCCCCAGGGCTGGAATTCAGATCTGGCTCCTAAAGTATTTGGTTTTTATTTTTATTTTGATGTTTTATTTTACTCCCCTGGGAGGCAACGTGCTGGTAGCATGACTGGATGAATCCAGCACTTGGCACTGTGCCTCAGGACGAGCAGGCACTTAATGTTTATGGGTTGATGGACCGACTGGATTGACTGACGGACTGAATTCTGTGTTGAATTTGCTGCTCCCGGCTCTGAAACTGTGAGCATTGGGTCCTCAGGCTAGTGGTCAGCTAAGCAGTGACAAAGGCCCTCCTTTCTCTATGGGATGAGG